CAAAATTAAATACTTTCGACGATATATTAATTTGGAATATCGTGTGACGTCACAGCGTGTCACATTTTGTAGCACGTTGTGACGTAACGACCTCCCACTCCTAAACTTAGCGCCATTTTATCTAAATAAAAAAACACGTGTCTAATATTTTTTCATTATGTAACTGACGGACTAATTAGATTTTTAATTTTGATACCCTAGGTACTACCCAATTGTCGGTCCTTCGGGGCCCACTGAAGATGGGGGTCCTGGGTTTAAGGAAAAGACGGTATAGTCAACACCGAAATCTTACCTTTATCTAAAAAAAAAAAATAAGAATAATATATTTTAGTCTTACTTATCTTACTTCGTAGGTCCTATTAACATTAAGCGCTTGAGTGTCGATAGGTTTATGACATATAGGATAATAGAAAACTCTCGTCTCTCGTGTCTCGCGTAGATCTGTGTTCTAGCACAGGGCTGGCCAAACAAAGGCCCGCGGGCCGCATGCTGCCCGTGGCTTGTTTTCATGTGGCCCGCGACACACGTTTTAATCTCAACATCTTCATCTTATGTACAACAACAATAATAAAATTCAGTGTATGATTTGTACACAAGTTTAGTCTGTGAGTAAAGAATACAATGTTAAACGTCATTATACAACTGAAAACATTTCTCTGGCCCTCCAGCTTTTGTCAGAAATTAAATTAGCCCTCGAGGGTATATAGTTTGGACAGCCCTGTTCTAGCATATCACGGGATATTAAGTGTGGGAGAGCCATGCTTCGGCACGAATGGGCCGGCTCGACCGGAGTGATACCACGGCCGAGCAGAAAACCAACGTGAAGCAACGCCTGTGTTTCGTCGTGTGAGTGATGTAACTGGTTACCCCTCCCCCTCTCCGTAATCTCCCCAATCGCTGAACCCCAACAATCCTCAAATTCTTAATCCCCAAAGCCAGGTAACGCACATGTATCGCCTCTAACGTTCCGTGTGTCCATGGGCGACGCCGATTGCTTACCATCAGGTGATCCGTCTGCTCGTTTACCGGCTCATGCCATAAAAAAATATAAATGCAAAAGTTTATATTTGTTCGTCATGTCAAAACAACTGAAGGGATCAGGATGAAATTTGTACCAGGGATAGATTGTGGCCTGGTTTCACACATAGGCTACATTTTATTCTAGAGGGACGCGGAAAAAACTAGTTTAAAAAAAATTACCAGCACCTGAAAACAGAAAAAAATAAATTATTATTATGCTAAATTAAGTAAAATCGTGGGTTACTCACGTGAATATACTGAGAAAAGCTCTACTAGTTTCGAACCACAGAGGGGTTCTTCCTCATGAGCAGCGTGCGCGGTCGCGGCGACGTCGCGCAGCTCACTGGCTGACGTCGTACGTTACGTGAGTAACCCGCAATTTTACTTAATTTAGTAAAAACATTGTATTATTTTCAAAATTTCCGTTCTGTATTCGTTCCGTTTTTCATAAAAAAAATAATTAATTAAAGAAACAAGAAGACTTCTCATTATTCATAGATGCCTGAGGCCTTAGACGAATTTGTTTTGTGTTTTGAAATGAAATGAAATGAATGAAATGAAATGAAATGAAATGAAATGAAATGAAATACGTTTATTCAGCATAAGACATGCACGCCAGAAAAGACATATAAATATAAAAAAGCATAAAAACAGAAAAATAAAAGGTAAATTATAAAACTAAAACTAAACTTTGCCGCTACGGAACGGACTCACGACGCGATTTTTACCCGCGCTCACCTCGGTATGGTGATTTATTTGTAAACTCACGAGACTGCAGTTTTCTGGTGTTCTGCAGCCACCACGGTTGCGATAATCGCCCGCCAAATTGGCAGTTGATTATCGTGTGGCGACACAATATGGTCCATGTCAACGGATGACGTCACAAAAATCCTACATCGCACATGCAAAGTTTACATGCAAATTAACACGGATAGAAAATCCCAACGAACAACTGTTGGGCAGAAAGCCCGCCAGGCACGATCACCTCGCCTGCTCGGAGGATCCTCCTTTTCCGATCTTAGGGAACTATACTCTCTGTTCGTCGCGGAGAACCTAACGGGTAACCGGGGCTCCGGCTCGACGTGCAGAAGAAGGAACGGGGTGGTTTTTAGTCAGTAAGAGTCTGACACTCCCTCCCGCCTCACCCGGGCGGGAGCAGTCATCCGATGAATTTCCCCCCTTAAAAAAAAAAATACTCTCTGTTCCCTAAAGTGTGTGTAACCACAATCGCAAGACAATCAGTTCAGTTGCAGCCCGGCCGTCCCATTGCGATCGCCGGTCAACCGATCGCAGAGCGCTCGGATGCAACTGGGACTGCTGCAGTGAGAGCCGCAAACAATAGCGTAAAACACGTCATGAAATGAGCACAGGGACGCGGCAGTCATGGGTGCTCTCTTGGGCGGGGAGTGTTGCTTGTGATGAAACAAATGCAACATGAGGAAATGTGTATGCAGAAACATGTAGAAATAGAATATAACCAATTGACTTTGGACTATTGTACGCTTTATTGGAATCGGCCCACGTGGCAAGGGTTGAGGCGTCATGCACACATAAATGTCCTACAGTTGGTGGCGCTGTGTGTTGGGTTGTTCCGTTCCCAATAAAAAGGTTGACCGGACCAATTGCTGACACACACGTCATACTCGTGAACGAGTGCCTTCTGCTAGGTCGGGTCGGCTCTCCCACCTTGTTGGTGGGCTGGTTTCATAAAGCCTTTGAAATAGAAATAAATAAATAGTGCCTAATTATTATGTAACCTATACTTTTGGTAATAATTAAAGATGTAGTTAATTGTAGTATGTAACTAGGTTCCCTCCTCGGACCTAGAGTCCGTGGAGAAATAATCTATAATAATATAAAAAAAAATAAATGAGCATTGATTTTTTTACATATAACTATATCTGTATTTTACAAAGGCTGTGGCCCACAACTACGGCGAACCTCAGGAGAAAATCGCGACGTGAGTCTTTAGTCTAAAGTAATGAAAACGAGACCGGCGTTCAGCGTTCTGATTGGCCGGCTCCAATGAACCAACCAATCAGAGCGCCATTACTTTAAACGTCAAAAAAATAGAACTACGCCATCTGCACACGGCGATACATCAAGCTAAACAAATCCATTTTAATAAATATCTTATCTATACTAATATTATAAAGCTGAAGAGTTTGTTTGTTTGTTTGAAACTTTGAACGCGCTAATCTCCGAAACTACAAGTCTGATTTGAATAATTATTTTTGTGTTGGATAGCGCATTTATCGAGGATGGCTATAGGCTATAAAACATCACGCTACGACCAATAGGAGCTGAGCAGAGCGTGTGAAACCGCGCGGAAATAGCTAGTATTAATATAATCTCGCTTTGTATGATCCTTGCGCACATCCGACAGTCATCTTCTATCTTTTATCTTCTATATAAATAAAAATGAATATCCATTCGTTAGTCTCGCTAAATCTCGAGAACAGCTGAACCAATTTGGCTAACTTTAGTCTTGAAATGTTTGTCGAAGGCCAGGGAAGGTTTAAAAGGTGAGAATTTTTTTAAGCCCGTTCGATATTTGCCGGGACAGCTAGTAACAGAACGAAAATATAGTTAAAACAATACAAATTTTGACTTACTTGGCGCTGAAACAGGAATGAGAATTAGATATTTTTGCTGAATTTTTTTTTTAGATGAGATAAATAGGTAACAACGATTTCATTGTGTGTACCACAAAAAGCCGGCAACGCACTTGTAACTCGTATGTTGTGTTGCAGTAGCCCATGGGAGGCGCTGATTGCTTACCTGTCTGCACGTTTACCGACTTATACCAAAAACTCTGTCCGATAAGTGTAACACGGCCATGCTTCGGCACGAATAGGCCGGCTCGATCGGAGTGATACCACGGCTGACGTGAAACAACGCTTGCTTTGTATTTCGTCGTGTGAATAACCTTACCGGGGGTCCAATTACACCCCGCATCAATCCCCCCAATCCCCGTATTTCCAACAATCCTCCAGTAAATGGCTGTGTCCATGGGCGGCGCCGAATCTGTCTGATCGTTAGGCTCCCTGTCCCTTGAACGATAAGCGTGGGAGAGCCATTCTTCAGCACAAATGCCCCGGCTCGACCGGTGTGATACCACGGCCGAGCAGACAACCGACGTGAAATAACGCTTGCGTTGTTTCCCCTCTCCCCAATCCCCGTATTTCCAACAATCCTCCCCTAACAGGCTGACAACGCGTTTATAGTGTCTATGGGCGGCGCCGATTGCCTACCATCAGGTGATCTCTCGGCTCGTATCCCATAAAAAAAGAAAATATACCTTTAATGATCAACGCTAGAAATCTCTCTTCGCTACCATCGTCGTTCTCAAGAATCAGGAAGTAGTCTCCATACCACTGGGGTATTAACAATCCAAAATCTATTTCTGCATATTGTTGCCTAGAAAAAAGAAGCATTATGTACTGAAAAGACGTTAGACGTTGAAAATATTTCAAGACGCTTGGTCGACGCATCTCGAGACCAGAGCTGGTCTGTTTCTCGCGCCACTCGGCAGGTCACTGCGAGCTTACACGCGAGCGGCTCGCGACGGGCTCGTATCTACGTACTCACTTGATACTGTATCTGATACGTTACGTGCTATACTGCTCAGTGAGTACCCAACTATACCGCCACTCGGCGGGTCACTGCGAGCTTACAGCACTCCACGGGCGAGCGGCTCGCAACGGGCTCGTGTCTACGTACTCACTTGATACCGTATCTGATACATTATGTGCTACACTGCTAAGTGAGTACCCAGCTACACCGCCCCTCAGTGGTCACTGCGAGCGTACAGCGCTCCACGCGCGGCTCGCAGCGGGCTCGTGTCTACGTACTCACTTGATACCGTATCTGTTACGTTACATGCTTAGCGAAGCAGCCAGCTAAAGGTACAGAGCCATGACATGAATTTTATTTTTACTTTTTCCTCTCTTTTATTTTTTCTGTTTTTCTAAAGTCAAGTGAAGAAAGGTCGCAAGTGCGACTGTCGGGCAAGGGGTCTCGGGTTAGATTACAGGGTCGGGTATTTAAAAAATATCTCAGTAGTAGCCTGGAATTGTGCCCGGTATATGGCAATAGACTCACACCCTTACATGGGGTTCATAACATAATAGTGAAATAGGTGTTACATTGTACAGTGGCATAATGTGTACCTCTGATTACCTCTTCGGGGATAAAACAACAGATATAACAAGTCAGTTTGTCGTTGTTGTATTTCTTTAATTATGTTTGCAATCGTTTTTGTTTTAAACATACCATGCCGGATGTAAGATACTTGTTTTTTCTATTTTTACCATAACATCCAACGATTAATTTTTTAATTTGACTTTGAAAAGTATGTTATTCGTGTGAATGATTTAATTTTCTTTATTTTGAAGTAAAATAAGTTATATACTCAACTCTACTCCTTTCCTGAAATTAATAGATGTTAATGAATTAAAAAGCATGGCTATAAGTCCAGCTCCTCGTCAAACAGTTACGTGAGTAAGACGAAAACATTTATATTTTTCTCTTATAATTTTATGTGTGGGAGAGCCATGCTTCGGCACGAATGAGCCGGCTCGACCGGAGTGATACTACGGCCTCACAGAAAACCGACGTGAAGCAACGCTTGCGTTGTGTTTCGTCGTGTGAGTGAGGTTACCGGAGGCCCAATTACCCTCCCTTTTCCCAATCTCCCCAATCCCTGAATCCCCAACGATCCTCAAACTCCTAATCCCCAAAATGCCGGTAACACACTTGTAACGCCTCTGGTGTTCCAGGTGTCCATGGGCGACGACGATTGCTTACCATCAGGTGATCCGTCTGCTCGTTTACCGGCTTATGCCATAAAAAAAATTATCTTCTGATTCACTTCGTTGCGGGAACCAAGACAGTTATTCATGTTCCTGAAACGAGACTTCAGTGTTCCGGTGTTTTCATGGCTGTATGTACTGTAGATCCTGGCTTACAGGAGTTGCAGCGGTTTTGGAAGGTTTTGGCGGACGAGACACTTAACTCGTCGAGTACCTACCGTCATTATAGACACAATTATAGAACAATAGGTTGCGGTCACCGGTGACCGCTTGGTGTTTGACAGTTTAAGGGGGGCCAGTAGAATACCAGCGCGAGGCCTTGTCTTGCACATGCTGAACGAGTCCCATTTTACCGCAGACTTGGGACATTAGTAGCTATTTATTAACTCATGTGGAAATTGTGTATGTATCACCTGTTTTAAGCGAGTGAAGTAAAGTTTTTTCTTTCTTTCATTTTTTTCAAAATACTCACTCGTCAGTGAATTTCCTGGATCTCCATCTCTCATTGCCGACATTCCGTGGTTTGTTGTCGAAGGACCTCCACATTATACCTCGGACTTTGCAACCTTTGCACGTAAAGTATATTGTTGTGGTGTTCAATCTGACTCCAGCTACTATTTCTATTGTCTGCGTTTCGACATGAGTGTCGCCTGTGTCTGGGAATTGAAAAAAAATGTATAATAATTATCGTGAGAAATACTAGGGATTGCAATAGGGTAGATGCCTAATTTCAATTTTAATGTCAGTCTGGTAGATTATTTTAAAACATTACACACGTATTTTTTATTTTCTTAGAAACGAATACTTTCGACGATATATTGATTTGAAATGTCGCGTGACGTCACTTCTAGAGGTATGTACGTTTTATACGAAGAAATGACGTTTTAGCTCCCACTCCTAAACTTTGATTCGTTTTATCTTAGTATTGTTTTATTATACGATATTTTTTTTATTTTATCGTATAAGACGTCATGCGATATTTAAAATCAATATATCTTCGAAAGTATTCGTTTCTGTAAGAAAATAAGAAATGCGTGTCTAATGTTTTTAAATAATCTACCAGACGGACAATAAAATAATAATTTGTCATCTACCCTATTGGCGTTTCATAGTTAGGCGTTTCATTTTTTTTTAAAGGAGGATATTCATCGAATGACTGCTCCCGCCTGGGTGAGGCGGGATGAAGTGTCAGACTCTTACTGACTAAAAACCACCCCGTTCCTTCTCCTACACTTCGAGCCGGCGGAGCCCCGGTAACCCGTAAGGTTCTCCGAGACTCCGTATCGGCATCAGCCCTATTGGGCCCCATCCGTGGTGGTCTGATGGCTCTTTGAGGCGCGCGCGGACCACTCGGCGCCGTACGCTCAGGTCTGGTTCTGGTCGGGCGGCGAGCTACCCATGCTGCATACCGCAGGCCCGCGCTTACGGTGGCCGGAGAGTCTCTGCCTTCATGGGAGACAGGCGTGGGCTTATGTATGTATGTCTGTATGTATGTATGTATGTATGTATGTATGAATGTATTGGTACTTACTGAGGGTAAGAAAACTTATAAATTTATAGTCGTTGGATTTGTTTGACTGTCTTGCTGTTAGTTTTTCTTTCTTATTTTTGTTTAAAAATCGCATATAGTACGTTGCAGCGTCTGTCGGCTTGAAGGGGTTGAAAGCCAACGAAATTGCTACTAAAGACCCTTTAATGTCCACTGTCACGCTGATATGCTGGTACCCCTGTAAAATTGACAATTTATTTATTCGTGTCAAATTCAATAGTCAATACTTTATTGCTTTTCCCATATATTACCTAGGTGGTAAACATAATAAGGACACAATGTGAACCTGGGTGCTTACTCTTGAATCCAATTCCGATCGATCGACATTGGTATTGTGAAATTTCGTACTCTTGAGTTGCAACACTAGCGCCCATTGCATCCGTATTGCGTGGATATTGAATGAACTAAATGGTATTGAGTTTGGCTTTATATTCCGTACTCTGAATGCTATTGTAACAGCTACGATTGTGGTTGTATAGTGTTGACATTGAATAATTATTGAAATTTTATTGGATTGAAATTGCATTGACATTGAGATTGGTGTCAAGAGTAAGGACCCAGGTTTCCCCAGAATTATTAAGAATTATTCAATTTAAACCAGTAAGTTCTAGAGATTTTCGCATAGAAACATATTATAAAACTCTTCAGTTTTTACAGGGTGACTTGTAACTCGACGTATTTCTCTCGGGAGGTGATAATACAATGAATTTCCTACAAAATTAGCCCCGAGGTCCTTCGTCCGAAAGAGGCTGAAGGTCCATTGGATTTTACACATTTATAAGACCTTGCCGCTCCTGCGCCGATGCCGCCGCGCCGCAAAATTCAAGGCAGAGGCTTTTGCGCGGCGGGTTGGCGGCGTTTGCAGGCCACGGATACAGACGTTCGCCAACGTGACTACTTGTTATTATAACAGGCAGGAATTAGGACTTCAATTTCTAATGATTTCGTAACCAATTTTTGCCAACCTCATAAAAAAACAAAGCTATCCAACAATAAAACCACCCTAATGAACTTTTGTTTTCTTGAATTTTGGCCACCCTTTACGGACCCCATACAAAATATATGTTCAGTTCCGCATACAAAAAGACGGGCGCCGTACTGACGCATTCATTTGTTTCACTCGCTAATGAAATTCACCCGGTGTATTTCGCCGGTCGCCGCTTTTCGTAGCATACTCAGTACAATTTATTCTATGTGTTGGTTTCAGTCGCTAGACACCTCGCCACCCGTGCCGCGTGCTTCGTAGCCAAGCCGTAAGACAGAGAGCCGTTTCATTTACACATATAAAAAATTTGTTTATAAAAAATCAAAACAATGAATGCGTACTTACTCTGATTGGCTGTGAAAGTATTCATAAGTTATTAAAAAATAAGACTTTCAATTATCTCCGTTTAAAAAGCCTACCATCTTCCGTAACTCAGACACATCTAATGATAACTTCACTTTATTAACTAAAAATTGCGGGTATGTAATATGTATCAGAGCAGTGTAAAACAGACTTTTTTAAAAAGGGTAACGAATGGACTTTCTTGCTCGTTCTTCTCCACTCGAATCGACATTTTGGAACGAGCGCCTTTTTTTCTTTTTTTTTAAGGGGGGAAAATCATCGAATGACTGCTCCCGCCTGGGTGAGGCGGGAGGGAGTGTCAGACTCTTACTGACTAAAAACCACCCCGTTCCTTCTCCTGCACGTCGAGCCGGAGCCCCGGTTACCCGTTAGGTTCTCCGCGACTCCGAATCGGTATCGGCCCTATTGGGCCATCAGACCACAGATGGGATCTGTGGTGGTCTGATGGCTCTTTGAGGCGCGCGCGGAACGCGACGCGCCGTACGCTCGGGTCTGTTTCTGGTCGGACAGGGAGTCACCTATGCTCGCCGTCCGCACTTACGGTGGCTGGAGATCGTCTCGCGATCCCCGACGCCCGGTGTGTCCTTCGCGATGGCTGGGTTACAAGGAGGCAGCGCTTCGCTGCCTCACGCGTCCCGCCTCCTCCTTAGCTAGCATAACTGCTTCGCAAAAGAAGGAGACGGCATCCCAGTACCCCTCGCTCCGCATCATGGCCTGCACTAGGCCCGGACGCGAGCCCACGCAGGGCATTCCGCTACAGTGTGTTTCACCGTGTCCTCAGGGCGGTCCTCGCAGTGATGAAACCCGGGCGTTTCCTCCCGCCCCATCAGACACAGGTACCTCACGAAACTTCCATGTCCGGTGAGGACCTGCGTCAGGCGGTAGGTAAGGACGCGATAGCGTCTCTCAAGCCACTCCTCAAAGAGGGGACTTACCGCTGCAATGGCAGCGAGCCCAGGAACGAGCGCCTAGCTTAACAGACGGACTGACTGACAGACTATTATTTATTTCATATTTGTTGACGTTTCAAAAGTACCAAATTATGGTTTAATTGAAATAAATGCTTTTGAGTTTGAGTTTCAGTTTTGAAAAATACCCGTCAAATTCGGTCCAGCCATACTAGAGATGAATCAATACAAACAGACCATACAGAAAATTTTTAAAATATTATTTTGGTAGGTTAACGAAAAAAACATTTTTTTGGTACTTATGTGTATCAAAATAACATTTTAGTATACCTCTATACATGTTCATAATGTATATTTTTACTAGCTTCTGCCCGCGACTTCGTACGCGCAATCCCGTTTTCTCCCGTTCCCGTAGGATTTTCAGGATTTTTTCTATCATAAGAACCTTCTCCTGACAATAACAAACACAACAAAACAAAAATCAGCCAAATCGGTCCAACCATTCTCAAGTTATGGCGTGACAACGGGAAACGGGCTTCATTTTTATATATCTAGAAGACTAGAAGACTAGATGAATGTAGTAAAAACCGGTTATTTTTAATATTACAAACATACATTCCAATTTTATTTATATATGTATAGATTGTGTTACTTATATTACTCATTTGTAAATTGAATAAAAAAAATTAAATGATGCCTTATTTATTTATTTATTTATTTTATTTATTAACACTTCTGTATAACGAACATACGATGGCGGACTTAATGCCGGGTGGCATTCTCTAACAGTCAACCATGGGGTGACGCAGAGATGTGCAACAATAGGTGTAATAGGTATAATGGTTTATGTGATGCGATGTGATGATTTAGTTGCAAGATTTCACTTCACCCACGTACAGCTTGGCAAAAAAGAGTTTGTAACAATAGAGGTCGCTAGTATCGTGCCTGTGGCAACCTTGTACACTACGACTCAACCGGTTTTGATATTTGTTATTTTTATCGCGTTCAAAAAGAGGAGGTACTATGTTCGGATGATTGTTTATTCATGGGATGTGGTCCGAAGTGGGTGATCCAGTACAAGTCTATTTTAGTTCTAGCTGTCACCGCGTCGAACTCTTTTTGCAAAGTTTTTTTTGCGAAGTTTTTATTTATACATACATTGGTAGATTTAAAAAATAGGTATTTTTAATCTCATTAGATGTGATTAGTTATTTGTTATCTATTTTTAGTACTTTTAATTACTTATAGGATTATTTACAAAGATTATTTCATTTAATTTCTAATTTTAAATTAATGTTATTTTAAGAATTCTTTAACCAAATTTTTTTGTGCCTTGTAGTATATTGTTATGTCATGATTTGGATTTTTGATATTGTATTTCTTTTATATTTTCTTGACATTTTTATAATTTATTTTAATTTGACTTAATTGACAACACGGTTAATACGGTAGCTGGGCTGCCATGCAACGTGTCGCGGGTTCGATTCCCGCACGGAGCAACTGTTTATGTGATCCACAGATTGTTGTTCCGGGTCTGGGTGTCATGTGTATGTGAACGGAGAAAAACCTAGTGTGGAGACACGTTTTTTTTAAAAGAAAATAAAAAAAATGGTTGCGTGTAAAGTCGTTTTTACGGGCGAAGATTTTACGTGACAACGTCTTTTTCTCGGTAGAATATTTATTGATATGAATATAATTAAATTGTTCAATAGGAACAATTAATTTAATGAACTAGTGCTGCGCGCGCGGCAGACCGATCATAGTTGAGTGGGAGAGAGACGCAAGGCATTCGGCGGGCCTCTCTCTCGTTCGGTGACTCATCGTAACGTTACCGAGCGTTACACTTTTTCATAAGTGACTCCCAGCCGCAACCTAATTTAAGACGTTGTCACGTCAAAAAATATATATTTCAAAAATATATATTATATTTCTCTATGTTTGTATGCGCATGATTTGATTCCCTTTTATTGAAGGATCACAAGGTTATTATAATGGCAGGTTGATTATTTTTTAGCATGTAAGTGTTTCTTTTGTTGGGAGTCCAAATAGATAAAGATAAAATAAAAAATCTAAATAAAAAGTGAGGTAAGATTTGACACTCGCCTTGTCCAGTAGAGTTACTCGCCACTGAAATAGAAAAGGTATTGTTATAAGTCTTTATGTATAAATGAAAGTGGAAGACTGCCTCGTTGGCTGACTGGTCGCAAGTGGGCCGCAATTGGCAAGGGGTCTCGACTCGGGTTCAATTACCGGGTCGGTCCAAGTATTACTAAGTTTAAAAAAAAATCTAAGTAGTAGCACTGAGTCTGGAATTGTGCCCGGTATATGGCAATACGCTCACCCCTATTACATGGGACTCATAATATAAATAGTGGAAAGTGGGTGTTACATTGTACAATCGCATTAAGTGCCGTAATGTGCACCTCTGCCTTCTCCTTTGCGGATAAAAGGCGTGATGTTATGTATGTAATTAATTTAATATGTCTCACGAAAGTTATAATATAAACCTCGTCCTTTTTTTGAACTCGGTTAAAAATACTAACTAGTTCGCCAGTTGGCACGTATTTGCCGATGCCGTGGAACGCGTATCCTGCTGGTACGGTCACCCGCGACGTACTAGTCGTGTACGACTGAGATAGAACAACTGTCTCGTTCTTATTGTCCTCTGTAAATAATAGCATCATTTTAATTCACATCGCAATCGTACGTCACAAGGAAGAGCCATGCTTCGGCACGAATGGGCCGCAGTGATACAAAACCGACGTGAAATAACGCTTGAGCTGTGTTTCGTGGAGATAGTGGGGTCACCGGTTGCCCAATAGGGTAGTTGCCTAATTTTGTTTTAATGTCCGTCTGGTACATTAATTTAAAACTTTAGACACGTATTTTTTCTTTTCTCACAAAATTAAATACTTTTGATGATACATGCATTTGAAATATCGTGTGACGTCACAGCGTGGTACATTTTGCAGCACGTTGTGACGTTACGACCTCCCACTCCTAAACTTAACTCAATTTTATCTAAGTATTGTAACTTTATATAAGAAAAAAAAATTGGTGTCTAATATTTTTGCATTATCTAACTGACGGACTAAATAGATTTTTAATTTTCATTCCCTGGCAACTACCCTATTCACTCCTATCACCGCATGACAACAAATAACAACAATTTCTTAATTTCTAATTCCTAAGACCTCAAATTCTTAAATCCCAAAAGGTCGGCAACGACTTATAATCAAATTAAATTTCAATCGAAATTTCAGTTCAATCGGGTGAAGTTGTCTTTTTCAATAATCTGCCACACCCTCTCCTAAGGCGAGAGGAGTCGTTTTGGATTGTTATTTTCCCAAATGGGTACTTGCCAACTAGTCAAATTCAATACTTTTTCGAACTGTCAAAAACGACAGTTTTTTATGAATATTGTACGAGATTGTGTAGGTATTGTGACGTCACGTTTTTAGCGTCGAACAGCATAGTTATTTCTTAAAAATTTGCCGGGAAAATACTAAAATTAACTTGATCATAAAATCATTTAATGAAAGTGTGAATATTTTTTAATATATTTTACTGTATTGAACAGTCGAAATAATTGATTTTTGATGAAGGAAAGTACCCAGTTATAGGTTATGTTGTTATAATTATACAGGGTGACTTGTATCTCCACGTATTCCTCTTGAGAAGTGATAATACAACTAATTTCCTACAAAATTAGTTCTGAGGTCCGTAGTCCCAAAGTGGCTAGTTTTTGAAATAGTGATTTAGAGTTTTATTCAAAAAATCCCGAACTAACTACAAAAACATTAAGAGATAAAAAACTACTGGTGTTATTTAAGTGGTTTTAATCAATTGCCAATACATCAATAAACATTTATTAACGCTAATACTTTCAGAAATATATTTCTTTTTAAAGTAGCAATTAGATTCGTATCAAATTTTGTTTTTAGTCACTAATTTGGTCAATATAAATATGGATTTATTTTAAAAATTTAAATTAAGTACACTAAGTGGACAAAATATCATAAACAGTTACTCGGTTTATTAGCTAGTAGCTACCCAAAACTATTATTTATAAAAGTCTCAAAAGTAAATTAATAACTTGGTGATAAGTAAAGTGATAAAAAAGTAAACTCAGACAAAACTTACCAGGTATCGCTAAAACGTATAAATAAAATAATTAAACATAGATTATGTCTAACAACTGGAAAAATATTATTTAGTTTATATCCCGTAGGGTACGAGCCCTTAAGTCTAAGAAGAGATTTTGCTTCCTTGCTCTCCGCGGAGTTATTCGATATGATGCCCACGGCCACTTTCTATCGTTCATGCTCACATATTGGACCCCAAATGGTCCCGTACAGTTCGGTTTAAGAGGAATTTCCTCCCACAGACTCTTCGATTGTGGAATGAAGTCCCTGCCAAGGTTTTCCCGTTGGGTTGCAATATGGGGTTCTTCAAGAAAGGAGTAAATAGGTTTATTGAGGGTCGGCAAGGCGCATGTAATGCCCTAGGTGTTGCAAGCGTTCATAGGCCACGGTACCCACTTACTATCAGGTGGGCCGTGTGCTTTTCTTGCCACCGGCTCATGGTATAAAAAAGAAAATACCTACCAACAGCAAGTACCAATGTGACTTTTTCCGAGTTATGTATGTACTTTCTAAGATTATTCAGACACCACTGACAAACGGTGAAGGAAAACATCGTGAGGAACCCTGGGCTTATAATTTCTAATTATAAGTTTGAAATCGTCAACCCGCATTGAGCAAGCGTGGTGATTAATGCTCAAACCTTCTCCGTGCGAGAAGAGGCTGTTGGTCAACAGTGGCCACTTATGATCTGATGATGCACTGTCCTCTTCACTAAAATGGGGGGATTGAAATTTGTATAGTGCATTAAAACGTTTGATATGTGGACTTGGTAAATCTGTCCCCAATTCCGACAACATGACAGCGCAACCAGTCGCCGCTACCAACATTCTGTACTGCCGTCCAAGCTGCTCGCGGTGACCAGTTCACCACAATGGTTGCGCAACCAAACAAACACCAGTCTCTATAGAACTGTTTACATCTTTTTGGTACCGATGACAGGTTACACCGCCATGGTGTACCGGTCAAATATAGCATTAAAATAAGCTGCGGGCAAAAGCTAGTTGGCTATGAAATTAATCAATTATATTATACTTACGTGGTACAACTTCTGTTTCACACACACAAGAGAAAATATGATTTATTTATTTTATTATCAATTGATTAATATTTAAAACTATTGTGGGAGAGCTATGCTTCGGCACTAATGGGCCGGCTCGACCGGAGTGATACCACGGCCTCACAGAAAACCGACGTGAAGCAACGCTTGCGTTGCGTTTCCTCGTGTGAGTGAGGTTACCGGAGGCTCAATTACCCTCCCCTTCCCCAATCTTCCCATTTGCTGAATCCCCAACGATCCTCAAACTCTTAATCCCCAAAAGGCCGGTAACGCACTTGTAACGCCTCTGGTGTTCCAGGTGTCCATGGGCGACGCCGATTGCTTACTATCAGGTGACCGGCTGCTGGTTTACCGGCTTATGCCATAAAAAAAACTAAAACTATACAAATATATTTATTACATTATGATTTAACAATAGCTTGTTAAGAAAAAACATTTTAAACCTTACCTTCGCCTAAAACATAGAAAGAAATATTTATGAAAATAAAATTCTAGAATTAATAAAAATGGAGGATTTATGTAGATGCCCGCTTCCACATTTACGGGTCATTGAACTGTAATACATTAAACGTCGTGGTGACTGGTGACCGACGACGTTAGCGGAGGACTCTCCTTCAACAATTTTCTATTGGCAGTCAAAGCCTTAAACTGTCAAACACCAAGCGGTCACCGGTGACCGCAACCTATTGTTCTATAATTGTGTCTATAATGACGGTACTCGATGAGTTAAGGGCACTTTAGCACTATCATCGAGACACCATGGCGGCAAAACCAATCGCGCCGCCGTGGTGTCCCCAAACTACCAGTCTAGACACCATACAGACAGCAGAATCGCCAAGTCACTGCGACAGTATCATAATAGACCTCGAAGAGACAGCAGCTGGACTGGCGACTGAATTAGTGGGACACCATACAGCGTTATACAAATTAGTGGTTATCAACTATAGAGTAGGCTGCGCGACATCGCCGCTACCGCGCACGCTGCTCATGAGGAAGAACCCCTCTGTGGTTAGAGACTAATAGAGCTTTTCGCAGTATATTCATGTGAATAATCCGCGAATTCAGTTAATTTAGAATGTCTCACGATCGTTATTATAGTGGTTATAAGGTTCAAGGTAACGTATTTTTTTGCAACTGAATTTACAGCTTAATATCGCATAGTATGATGTTAGTTAATTATTTTATTTTATGATTTAGTTAATTATTTTAACTACTGCCTGCCTCATTGGCCGAGTGGTCGCAAGTGCGACTGACGGGCAAGGGGTCTCAGGTTCGATTTCCGGGTCGGGCAAAGTATTACTGGGTTTGTAAAAACCTCAGTAGTAGCACGGAGTCTGGAATTATGCCCGGTATATGGCAATAGGCTCACCCCCTATTACATGGGACTAATAACATAACATAAATTGTGAAAAGTGGGTGTTACTTCTGTGTGCACCTCTGCCTACCCCTTCGGGGATAAAAGGCGTGATGTTATGATGATGATGTTTTATTTTATTAAAAAGTCTATTCTATTTTTTTACTGAAGATACTTCATAGGTAAGTAATTATGTAGGATAGAAGTTTAAATTTAATAAATCTAATACTCACGTTGAATGCCTAGAGATATTGTAAAAAGGCAAATATAAAAACACATTCTCTATACAAATCTATGTACATACAGCTTGGCATAAAAGAGTTCGACGCTGTGACAGCTGGAACTAATATAGACTTGGACTGAATCACCCACTTCGGACCACATCCCATGAATAAACAATCATCCGAACACAGTACCTCCTCTTTTTAAACTCGATAGAAATAACAAATATCAAAACCGGTTGAGTCGTAGTGTACCAGGTTGCCACAGTCACGATACTAGCGACCTCTATTATTACAAACTCTTTTTTGCCAAGCTGTAAATACATATAAACAACGACGTTGAAAGATAGGCAGTAATTCACCGAGGGAAGTGGAAACTATCGTTCTTCTCCTCCTCTAATATATTTTGATTTATTTCGTTGCGAGAATGAAGAAAGTTATTCGTACGCGCCAGACTTCAGTATTCCGGTGTTTTCATGGTTGTATCTACTGTAGATCCTGGCTCACAGATGTTGCAGCGGTTTTGGGAGGTTGTGGCGGGCGTGTCCTATAAAAAAATCCTCAATACCCCCAAAAGGCCGACAACTTACTCGTACCTAAGTGTTGCAGATGTCCATAGAGGGCGCTGATTGCTTACGATCAAGTGATAAGGTACTAATTAACTACTATTCTACAAAAAATGAATTATCAAATGAATTACTTTCGTCCGAATCTGAAAATAATGTAAATATTATTTAAATTAGATCGAAAGTGACATCTTAACTAGAGTATTTAATGCAGGAGATGTTATCATGTATACATACATAAATACATACATATATATTGAAGTGCGGGAAAGCCATGGGGCTTACTCTTGAATCCAATTCCGATCGATTGACATTGCTATTGTAAAATTTCGTACTCTTGAGTTACAACACTAGCGCCCATTGCATCCGTATTGTGTGGATATTGAATGAACTAAATGGTATTGAGTTTGACTTTATATTCCGTACTCTGAATGCTATTGTAACAGCTACGATTGTGGTTGTATAGTTATTGGATTAAAATTGCATTAACAATAAGATTGGTTTCAAGAGTAAGCACTCTTGCGTCGGCACGAGTCTGCCGGCTAGACCGGAGTGATACCACGGCCGAGCAGAAAACCGATCTGAATCAACGCTTGCGTTGTGTTTCATCGTGTGAGTGAGGTTACCGGAGACCAAATTACACCCCCACCCCCCAACCAAAAATTTCATAATCTCCCCAACAATCCTGAAATTCTTAATCTCCAGAAGGCCGGTAACGCACTTGTAACGCCTCTGGTGTTCCAGGTGTCCATGAGCGACGCCGATTGCTTACCATTAGGTGATCCGTCTGCTCGTTTACAGGCTTATACCATAAAAAAGTAATAGCACACTTTTAATATATTACTATTTTTAATAATTAGGTAATCTTAAGTTAATGAAGAACTTTTATTGTATTATAAAAACCTAATTTTCTATAGGAGATATCTATCTTTATATATCTATATATATATAAATCTTCTTATATATAAAAATGAATTTCCGTTTGTTAGTCTCGCTATAACTCGAAAACAACTGAACCGATATGGCTCATTTTGGTCTTGAAATGTTCGTCGAAGTCCGGGGAAGGTTTAAAAGGTAAGAAAAAATTTAGTACGACGTTTGCCGGGTAGTCTATAACTACATAAAACTTAAATATCTTCTGTTAATTTGATTTCATATATACTACTTGTAGAAGACAATTCACCCATTGGGGGTACTTCGTCATCGGATTCTTCGTAAACGCGGTAAGTTCGGTACGGGCTGGCAGAACAACCGCTTACCCTCGTGTCCAACTCAAAAGTGACGCCTACGCCTTTCAAAATGCCAACATGCCACGCCCCGTACCGACCATCACCCAAGCACACCGCTTGACGTTTCCGACAAATGATAACAGATGGCGTTGTTCTAAAATAACGATACTCGATAGTTGTGCATCTTTGTTGATTCTGCGACATACTTAATTAATACGTCAGGGAATGAATTGATTTCGGTAGTGTTCCATCACGTGTACTTGTTGAGATTGGAACTGACGTACCTTAGGATGAAAAACTTATAAGTTATAACTAAAAATTTTTAATATCTTAGTTAATGATTTAAGTTGGTTAATTTTAATTTTATATTATTGTAATTTTAATTTTGTTTTATTGTAATTTTAATTTTATTTTATTGTTATTTTAATTTTATTCTATTGTAATTTTTATTTCACTTTTTTGTCATTTATAAATTTGTGATTGTTGTGTGACTTGTTACTATGGGTTCCTATGCCTGAAATAAATGATTTATTATATATTATTATTATAATATACTTGCCTTCCTCTAGAATAAAAAAAAATATGTACAGTCATTACAAAAAAAAAATTGCAAAATTAAATTATTCAAACTAAAATCGCGGGTTACTCACGTGAATATACTGAGAAAAGCTACTAGTTTCGAACAACAGAGGGGTTCTTCCTGTGAGCTGCGTGACGTCGCCGCGACTGCGCACGAGGCTCATGAGGAAGAATCCCTTTATGGTTCGAAACTAGTAGAGATTTTCTTAGTATATTCACGTGAGTAACCCGCGATTTTTAGTTAATTTAGCATGTCTCACGATAGTTATTATAAAACAATGCTTAAACTGTCAAACACCAAGCGGTCACCGGTGACCGCAACCTATTGTTATATAATTGTGTCTACAAAACCGGTACTCGACGAGTTAATATATGTGAAGTTGTTAGCAAAGAAACGGCGGCACTAACATTTCTTGTTATTTTCTCGATCCCTCAAATTGCTTACCATCAGGTGATCCGTCTGCTCGTATACCAGGTGATCCAGTAAAAAACAATATGTTTGTCACACATGCACGATACGACACAGGAGAAAACCATAGTGTGGTGCAATGTTTTTTTAAAAAAAACGAAATCTTTTCTGTCTATATCGCGCATCAACATACCTACATAAAGGTTAAATTGAGAACTACCTTTTCTTTTTTAAGTCAGTTAATTGGCTATGTGCAAAGCAAGTAGTGGTGGACAGATAACGACCGCAGCGCACAACACGGCAGAAATTGGAAACAAATGCGGATGATGCAAACCCGGTGTTTATTATTAAGTACTAGCGACCCGCCCCGGCTTCGCACGGGTGCAATATGCATGTATTATACATACAAACCTTCCTTAAGAATCACTCTATCTATTAAAAAAAACTGCATCAAAATCCGTTGCGTAGTTTTAAAGATCTAAGCATACATACGGACATACAGCGAAAGCGACTTTGTTTTATACTATGTATTGATATTCATTTTACAGTAAAACTATTGAATAAATTGCACTTAAATAATGTCAACAATACTATTTTAATCTTTGGTTTTATTTATATTTGCAAAGAAAATTATAATGTTTACATTGTTATTATTTAACAGCTTCCGCGAATGTTGTAAACGCTACGCGTCGCCACCGTCGCGCACATAGCCACAAAATCTTTTCTGTCCATCGCGAAATAATCCTGCACCTACATACAGGACTGAGGATCTCCTTCTTTTTTTTTGAGTCGGTTAAAAACGTTAGTGGCTCTGTTTTTTAGCTCATAAGTATAGAAATGTAATATTATACAAGGTGTTGTTTTAAAGCCGCGTCATTTTCAAGGAGGTAACTCGGCTATCGATTCTGAGTCCGAATCAATAAAAAAAAATTGTCGGTAAATACACATAACATCCCGCCTTTTATCCCCGAAGGGGAAGGCAGAGGTGTACATTATGCCACTGTACAACGTAACACCCACTTTTCACTATTTATGTTATAAGTCCCATGTAATAGGGGTAAGCCTATTGCCATATACCGGGCACTATTCCAGACTCCGTGCTACTACTGAATTTTTTTTTAAAACCCATTAATACTTTGCCCGACCCGGGAATCGAACCCGAGACCCCTTGCCCGGCAGTCGCACTTGTGACCACTCGGCCAACGAGGCAGTCTGTAGGTAAATATTTTTTCATTTTTCTGTAAATTACGGAAATCTGTAAGTGCTAACTACACGCCGCCGTCTTGTAACTAGCTTTATAATGCGGCTTAACACACAAACTCAAACACGTAATTGATATTATTCCTAATTCTAAAAACTCCAATAAGAAACATTGCTGTCGCTTATTCTGAAATACTGTCGAACTTAAACGATTTTTATAGCCGTATTTTTAACTATTGGCCCGAAACTTTCTCTTACATTTAACCTTTATGACTTCTGTGACATGCCCCCGAGAAATGACACGGCTCCAAAACTACACTTTGTATAATCCAATCAATAAATCCATAAAGAACCTTACCATAATCCTCTGAAAATTAGGAAAAACAAATATATATATTCAGTAAATAATAAGTCTGTGGACCATGGACAAGACTTCACTTCATTTTATTTTTTTTAGCTTTTCTTTTATTTTATTTTTATTTTTGGTTATGTTATGTGTGTTTTGGGCAAAAATAAATGGTTTTTCTTGCTTTCTTTCTTTCTATATTATTAAACAGTTGCTACTAATCTCACTAATATTATAAACTACCTTCTGCCAGCGGCTTCGCCCGCGTTCCCGTGGGTTAAAAACTAGTCTATGTGTTATTCCAGACCCTAGTCTACCCCTGTTCCAAATTTCATTTCGATCCCTTCAGCCGTTTTGAAGTGAAAGAGTAACAAGCAAACAAACAAACACACACACTCGCATCCTCACAAACTTTCAAAGTCAAAGTAAAAAACATTTATTTCAGGGTGCTTACTCTTGAAACCAATCTCAATGTCAATGCAATTTCAATCCAATAAAATCTCAATAATTATTCAATGTCAACACTATACAACCACAACCGTAGCTGTTACAATAGCATTCAGAGTACGGAATATAAAGCCAAACTCAATACCATTTAGTTCATTCAATATCCACGCAATACGGATGCAATGGGCGCTAGTGTTGCAACTCAAGAGTACGAAATTTCACAATACCAATGTCGATCGATCGGAATTGAATTCAAGAGTAAGCCCCCAGGAAGGCATTTGGAGGTCAACAAAAATATTTAAAAAATGTTGCTCATTCCAAGATGTAGATTCCTATGAAGAAGAACGAGCAAGAAACTCCATAGGTTACTCTTTTTCCCATTTATAATATTAAATAGCTACTTCCGCGCGGTTTCACACGCTCTGCTCAACTCCTATTGGTCGTAGCGTGATGTTTTATAGCCTATAGCCACAAAAAGAATTATTCAAATCAGACTTGTAGTTACGGAGATTAGCGCGTTCAAACAAACGAACATAAAAACAAACTCTTCCGCTTTATATAGAGGTAATAAGTATAAGATAAGATAATAGGATTAGTTTGTGAGTCAGTTTGTGACTGTTTATAGTCTGGACTGGATATAGACCACATTTTATTCCACAGGACGTGCGCGAAGCCGTGGGCAGAAGCTAGTCTGACAAATACTTACGAAACAATTCGCTAGCTGATGTGGCCTGGTCAGGTCCCGGTAGACTGAAGATGTACCCGATTTGACACGGATTCCAGTGGTCGCATACCTCTCGGTCAGGGTCCAGTTCAGTCACATATTTATACGTCTGGGAACGTAAACAATACATGTCAATAAATCATCGTCATTATATATTATGCTATTTTTATTTATCGCTGAAAAAATGTTTTTTTTTTAATAGTTACATAACATAACATCACGCCTTTCTTCCCCCAAGGGGTAGGCAGAGGTGCACATTATGGCACCTAAACTGTACCATGCAACACCCACTTCACTATTTTATGTTACGAGTCCCATGTAATAGGGAGTGAGCCTATTGCCAAATACCGAGCACAATTCCAGACTCCGTGCTACTACGAAGCCGCGGGAGGCCTAACGGGTTCCCGGGGCTCCGGCTCGACGTGCAGGAGTAGGAACGGGATGGTTTTTAGTCAGTGAGAGTCTGATACTTCCCTCTCGCCTAAAAAAAACTCCGTGATACCACAAATATTTTTTTTAAATCCGATTAGAACTTTGCCCGTCCCGGGGATCGAACCCGAGATCCCTAACCCGACCGAGTCGCACTTGCGACCACTCGGCCAACGAGGCAGTGATAAATAATAAATAAGGTCAATAAATAGCTGCTCACTCTATCGGGATAGTATCGGTAATGCACAACGACGTCGTCCGTGTCCTCCAGAGCACAGTGTCGACTAGTGTAGTTCAGGGGAGTCCGTTCACATGGAGCGCAACCGATCACCGTGGAACCATTCCTCGGTAGATCTGGTCCTTCAATTTTGTGACCTGAAAATATATATATGTCGGAGAAACATCGTCATGCGCCGAATAAACACTATTTTAATTCAGATAGTAACAATAGTTTTATCTGTTTCACAATAACATAAAAGAAAAGTTAATAATTAGGACTGAGCAGCGGGTTCAGGGCACCGATCTTACAGTAAAATTACACAAACGATCCGCCTCGACCGATAGCTAATTCATGCTCTCCCGCCAAAACTATATCTCTTTTTCTCAGTAAGATGGCGCCTCGACCCCGCTCGAGGCGCGCGCTCTGCTCTAATTGGTCGTTACTTAGGAAGTCAAATTCAAATTATCAATAATTCTAATAAATAAAATTAAGAATTTTAAGTGTGACAAATCAATTTAAATTAATTTAGGCATTTTAAAAAGTGAATATAAAACAAAACAAAAATAATGTGCGTTGCATAACTGCAATGCAAGTAACAATTAACTCCCAGCTTCCTCCGACATATATATATGTTCGTGAACGGGCGCCGTCTATTGGGACTGGTCATCTCCAGACTGTATAATTCTATTATCCTTAAGGAAGATATCGTGGTGGCCCGGAGGTTCAAGACACCCACTTCTCATGCATGAGGGTGCGGGTTCGAAACCTATCAACGGCAAGTACCAATGTCACTTTTACCGAGTTATAATTATGTAACATAACATAACATCACGCCTTTTTATCCCCGAAAGGGGTAGGCAGAGGTGCACATTTCGGCACTTAATGCCATTGTACAATGTAACACCCTCTTTTAACTATTTATGTTATGAGTCCCATGTAATAGGGGGTGAGCCTATTGCCATATACCGGGCACAATTCCAGACTCCGTGATATTACTGAGATTTTTTAAAAACCCAGTAACACTTTGCACGGCCCGGGAATCGAACCCGAGACCCCTTGCCCGGCAGTCGCACTTGCGACCACTCGGCAAACGAGGCAGTCTATGTAAGTACTTCCGATCCGATATGTCCGAGTTATATGTACTTTCTAAGATTATCTAGTTAGGTCATGAAAAAATATTAGACACGTATTTTTTTATTTTGTCGTATAATTAAACAATACTTAGATAAAACGAATCAAAGTTTAGGAGTGGGGGCTAAAACGTCATTTCTACGTATAAAATGTACATAGAAGTGACGTCACGCGACATTTCAAATCAATATATCGTCGAAAGTATTCGTTTCTGTAAGGAAATAAAAAATACGTGTCTAATGATTTGAAATAATCTACCAGACGGAGTATATAAAAATTAGGCATCTACCCTATTGTAACAAACAGTTATCTGAAAACCGCATCAAAATCGGTTCAGACAATCGCGAGGTAGTCGCGCACAAACATACATACATACATATTCTTGTTCTTTTTAATTCAGTTAAAAACTTACGATTGCAAAAGAAGTATTTATTGTTAGCGACGAAGAGCTCTTTATCCTCTGCAGATAGGCAGGACTCGAACATAATGGGCGACGGTTCTATATTGTCTTCACACATGATCACGCCGGAACCATCAGGCTCCTTAGGAAGTCGGTTTTCTGGACAACGGTACATTAGACCTGCAAAACAATTCATTAATAAAACTATAGAAAGGGTATATCTATACATAGCTATATAGGTACCTATGAAATTGCCGTTCTGCAGTACTGGCCGTTTCAAATTAAAATACAAATTTTTGTTTGACTAAGAATTCTAATTTTAAATTAAAATTATTTTAAAAACATTTTTTTTATGGCTTAAGCCGGTAAACGAGCAGACGGATCACCTGATGGTAAGCAATCGGCGTCGCCCATGGACATCTGGAACACCAGAGGCGTTACAAGTGCGTCACCAGCTTTTTGGGGATTACGAGTTTGAGGATCGTTGGGGATTCAGGGATTGGGAAGATTGGGGAAGGGGAAGGTAATTGGGCCTCCGGTAACCTCACTCACACGACGAAACACAACGCAAGCGTTGCTTCACGTCGGTTTTTTGTGAGACCGTAGTATCACTCCGGTCGAGCCGGCCCATTCGTGCCGAAGCATGGCTCTCCCACTACAATGAATGGATTCTGTTTCATAGTTGCAAGCGCTCAGCAAGTTGGTTAGACCCTGGTTCAGAACTTAAACAATGTCACTGCGCATGCCTAGCTGGTGGTCTAGCGCCGGCGTGATTCATCACAGCTTCTTACCAAACGGGGCGAGCATTACTGCAAATGTGTACTGTGAACTGTATTTTTTTTTTACTGTCCTTTAAGGTTATTTTTTTCAATCTCTTTAACTGTATTTTAGTGTTACATTGTTCTCGCACAACCCAAACAACAAAACTATGTAACTAGAGAATTGTATTGTGAATTTGATTGAAAAAGAGCAACCTATGGAGTTTCTTGCTCGTTCTTCTCCATAGAAATCTACACCTTGGAATGAGCAAATAGCTTCACTTTTAATTGGAGAAGAGGCATTGCTCAGTAGTGGCCATTCTAGGCTGTTGATAAAGTAAATTAGTATAGGATTCATTGCAAGTTAAAAAAAAATGCCTCGTTGGGCGAGAGGTCGCAAGTGCGACTGCCGATCAAGGGGTTTGGTTCGGGTTCGATTCCCGGGTCGGGCAAAGTATTACTGGGTTTTTTAAAAATTCTGAGTAGTAACACGGAGTCTGGAATTGTGCCCGGTATATGGCAATAGGCTCACCCCCTATTTCATGGGACTCATAACATAAATAGTGAAAAGTGGGTGTTACATTGTACCTCTACAGTGGTATAATGTGCACCTCTGCCTACCCCTTCGAGGCGTGATGTTTATGTTATGTTATGTTAAAAAAATACCCTTTCTGATAATCGCAGGGGGTTTGCCCCTGATCTCGGCAATGGAGACTCCTTTCTCTCCATTCTGTATAGCCGTCATTACTCGCTTATACAAGGTGGTCCGCCGCTCCTGCTCCGCAATGATGTACGGGAGCAACTCCTCAGATAAAACATCAACCTTCTTCTTCGCTTCAGCGTTCATCTGCAAGTCATTTTTTGTGTCTTTACGCTTAAGTCATTCTGTCTCCTGCGTTAAATTTACAGAAGAAAGAAAGAAAGATCGTTTATTCGAACCATGCGTTTACATAAACTGAGTAGTCAGACATGTAAGATATTAAATAGTTTGTTGTGCGTCCATGTTTCGCCAATAGTGGCGTACAATTGTTGTGGGTCCATTTTACAGGTATAAAAAATACATTCAATTTCTTTAAAAATCAGCAAATTGTACTATAATAGTTAGTCATTATTAAATGTCATTACAGAGATAAACAAGAAATAAATATGAATTAAATGTCACAATATAAAAGTAGAAAGTTTTTCTTATCCACTCATAATATCTTCTTATTTCGTTTCTCTGAACT